CGCTCTTCCACATCTTGTAGTGATGTGTAAAAAGAGATGGATCCTTTTAGTATCCTGTCAGGAGGTGAGGTGGTAATGAGGTGACAAACTCAGATGGATGTTGGAAAACTGGAAAGAGATATCTTTTCTGTATTTTTCTTTAGCAAGTTGTAGTTATTAAAAATGTCAAACCATTAGAAATCCAGATTATTATTATTATACTGTACGTTTGCTGTCCTTATTAAAGTTAATCATGCTTGTACATAAAAAAAAAAAACAAAAAAAACCCAACTATCTGGGGAAAGAAAAAACCCTATCTTCTCAGGTTTTACACCAACTGTACACTAATAACAACATTGAAATAATATTGTTAATACTGAAAATATTTAAAAGTTAGGAAATACCAGAATTAAAGTTGATGGTGTAACCTTAATCTGTACCATTTGTACCTTCCCCCTGCCCTCTTGCATATATGTAACTAATGCATAATCATTTATAATTTTTTCCATAGGACCCCTACCTCTCTCAGCATATATGCCTGCGAAAAGGTGGGCCTGGATTCACCCTTTCAATGAAAGACAAACTGTTCAGAGGCACTCTGCCCAGGTCCATAAATGAGTAAGTAAAAAACAGGTGAAATAAAGGCACTAGGGACTCTTAGTAAAAGGTCCTACATCTTGGTACTGGGCTAAGAAATGAGCAAATACAGGTGTTCTTTAATATTGTTCAGAGGCAAGCCTGTCCAGATCTTGGCTGAGCAGCTGTAGCTGGGTATAGGTTTCATAGAATAGTAGTCAAATATCAAGACCAGTAAGGATAAAGAATACAGATAGCTAGGGAACACCCTTCCATTGGACTTCCATCTGGGAAGAGAGCAGCCTTCATCTCCTGTATCACACAAGCGGAAATTAACGATGTGGACAACTTCTTGTTTCACAGTTGCACTACAGAGACCAACCAAATCCTGCCAGCTGAAGACCTGTTACTATAAGTCTGGTGACAAGAACCAGCATCAACCTCCAACACACTACCTGTGCAGGGAATTGTGGCTTTAAGCAACAGGGATGCAGCAAGGAGGCTTTCATCCTCAAATGCCACAACACCTGATTGTGGAGAATAACTCCTAGGTTTTACTGAGGTTCTGCCACAAACACAACTCAAAGTGGTATTAGGGCAAAATCTCCTGGATAAATATAGAAGATACTTGTCATATCAGAGTTCTTAGAAATAGCAATGGAAGCCATATGAATGCACAGCAGGCCCTGTCTGTCCTTTTCCCACAGGAAGGCATTAAGACATCAGCTTCCCTAGCCAAAAGATTCTCCCACCTTCCCTGAAAATTGCAGAAACTCTGTTGAACCTTAACCAGCACCAGATTAAAAGATATGGGGTAAACCCTGCCCACAACTCTAGTGGTCAGAAACCTTGGCCTCTAACTTGATCCAATTGAAGAAGAGATTTATGACTGAGGTAGACGCCCAGCTACAGCAGTAGACTAAGTGTCTATGGTCACCAACTATCCAAGAAAGGGCTTTATGTCAATGGTATATTGATAGACGATAGCACCTATCATGGATTCTCTTAACCAAAGTTGACAGGTTTGGTCAAGATCCAATAAAGCTTGACCTTATATATGCCACAGAGTCACATTGCACCTGGAAGAGCAACAGTGAATTTGGGATGAAAGCAAGCACTTCCATATCCCCTTGAGATACCAGTGATCCACCCTATCAAATATGTTTTCCTGCTCAAAAAATAGTAAGTGACACATCATCCCCACATGCTACAGGTTTCCCTTGCTTTATGCTGTACGTGCGTTCTTGGAAAATGGTGCATAACTTGAATTCACATAAGGGGAACCCACTTTACAATGTAACGAATAGGAATACATTCCAAGACTTTGTCTGTGCTGGCCCACAGACCCATTTCTACCATTTTACAAGACAATTTTGGTATTCAGCAACAGCAGACGTATACACAAGCAGAGGAATGTTAAGCTAGCAGGATACTTGGAAGCCAGAATGGGGATAGCAACCACAGAAACACGTGTCACAGACAATGAGCAAGGGGCACAGATCTACACAGGAGACTATTTTGATGTCCGTCTCTCCCACAATGCACTGCACAAAGCAACTGACTGTGGGTTTCCACCACACAGATTGCATAAGAGTGATTTTACCTCCCATATAACAAATTTTGTATATAAAAAGGGTCATTGTGTAAGAGCAAATTCGCACGTACAGAACCTGCATAAAGCGAGGGAAAACTGCATATGGAAAACATCCCAGATACAAGTTGTCAAAAGTTATGTAAACTGACCTTGGACAGAGGTCTGTTCTGGAGGGACCTCAGTTTCAGAAAGAGGGTTTTTTGCTACTTTTTAGGTTGTATGGCTGTTTGCAGACAAAAAAACCCAACAACAACAAAAAAACCCATGCTTTATCAGAAGAAGCAGCATGTTAGTTTGATGCATATTAGTTCGCACTTCTCTGCAGCATCTTTATAGATCAGGTGCTTCAGTGGGGCTTTTTTGGCAGTTTAGCTTAAGCTGATTCAATCAGCTAATACAGGAGTTTTCAACTGTGGGTACGCGTACCCCTGGGGGTACTTTGGAAGGCCCCAGGGGATATGCGGCAGTGGCGCAGAGAAGCCAGCAGCACTTCTGGTTTTGCCACTGTGTGCCACAAAGGAGACCTCCCCCCCTCATTTGTCAACGGGCCGCTGGGGGACCCTTCCCCCACTTGTTGACTGGCTGCCAGGAGACTCCCCGCCTTTCAACTAGCTGCTGAGGGTACCCTGACCAAAAAAGGTTGAAAACACCTGAGCTAATAGATAAAAGTGCCAAAAAAGCCCCACTGAAGCACCCAATCTCTACAAATGTCAGGTGAGCTGGGTCTAAGGCGCTGCCTCTTCTGGGCATGTGCAGGGCTCAGTGCAGGAATGTGCCGAGTTTAAAGTAAAGTGCCATTCTGTGGGGAAGGTGGGGCAATTAATGCCTGCAAGCAGCCTATGTGATTTATAAGGCTGTGCAAATCTTCAGTCCCTGGTTTGATTTGGCGGACATTCGGCCCGATTTGGTGGCTGAATAACTGAATCAAATCAGAGGACCCTTTAATCTCTCCGAATCAAATCAGAACCCTCCAAATCAATTTGGAGAGATTCAGCAATTTGGACAAAGACACAGCTTTAAATGTTTTTTCTATATACCTCTAGGTAGCAGGCGG